CTTTTTTGACGATCTAGAAAAGTGAATACAAACCTTCACCCAACAGGACCTCCCGAGAGCGGCATGTAACGTTGATGATTATTCGCACATAGAAGCATGTCGCATGTCTTCCTCTTCACAGAAGAAGGTGAACATATGCTCTCGAACTTAAAAATGTTTACGTTTACTTTATACTTGATGCCTCCTCTTAAGCAGCTATCAAAGGAACATTTTTGTTTAAATTAATCATGTTTCAATAGCATACTTTCTTGCGTTATTTCTAACATTTGCAATGTTAGAAAATTCAGAGACTTCAATGATATTGAGACAAGCGCAATTGTTTCAATCGTCTTTTGGTTTTCTCGAGGAAGAATAAAAAAATATTAGGGGCCGATTTTGAGGGGGAAAAATTACTACATTATTTCACGCAAAGGTTACGCGAAATTCAAATTTTCAAATTCGTATTTCCAAATAATAAAATCAAATTCTTATTTTCAAAACATCCTACATGACATTATTTAAAGATCTAATTTTTCGTACAAATTTCATTAACGAAAAAATATGTACCGTCAATATTGTAGATTTGAGAGAAGGTTTTAATTTTTTGCTATTTTAATAAATACAGAGTTTGCGCGGAAATGGAACGGGCGCCATTTTTTAGTATCCTTCACTACACCCGAAGAAAAAATGTACTTACCCTCAGTTTAAGATCTATTTATGTAGAACAGATTTTATTAAGGAAATAAATCTTTATCTTCAATAATGTAGTAGTAGGAAGACCCGAAAAAATGTGAACTTTTGTAACTTTAGAAAATTTAGAGTTAAACGAAAGACTTGAGCTATTTTTATAAGTCATTAGAACTATTCAAGGAAGAATTTTAATTAAAATATTCGGAGCGATTTTTCTGCAAACTTTGAAAATGAGAATCAAAATAGCCGTTTGCAATCTCGCAACCTTGAATTCTCCCAGATCAATTGGGAAAACTCAATTTTGGAGAAAATCGTCTGATCGTTTTAGGCGCTAGTGTTGATCACTAATAGACAAGCACACGGACAAACAGATGGATAGGCAGGCAGAAAACGGTCAGCCAGACGAATGACCGGACAGGCAGAAGGACGGGCTGACTGGCAGACGGAGGGGTGGACAGGCAGACGGGCGGGCAGACAGGCAGTGGACGAACAGGCAGAAGCTCGGGCAGGCAGGCGGACAGACGGGCAGGCGGAAGTTGCGTCAAGTAATTTTCTGGTACCAAGAACACAAAACGTGGATTCTGACTACACAACGAGATAGAGAAAGTGATAAACTATACATAGGAACATTTTGTTTTCACTTTTTCGATACCAGTATTTTTTGTGAAAATACGAGTTTTTTGTCCAAGTATTGCTGATTTCTATCGCAATTTTACGATACATTATCTGCACTACGTAAGTAAGTGGTATGATGAGACAGTAAAACAGAATTACATCGCTCCTGAATTTCGAGGGATGGAATTCATGATAAATATGAAGTAGGATAGATTATGACCACGCAAAATGTAGGTGAAGGGGGAAAACGGCGGGGGGGGGGGGGGGGGGCAATGAGAGTACCTAATTAGCCGGGATATAGGAAAGATATGGAAGGTAGTTGAATCTCTGTAACAGCCTGTGCGACTTTCATGTGATATACGCGCTATATATTGGTTCCATCGAAATTTTAAACCGTGAACTTGAAGCCGAAAATCTCAATGTATACATTTTATGTACTTTCTTGAAGACTGGAGTACGTATAGTAGAGAGAAAGTTATGTAATACTGTAATACATTGATGTCATCCTTTGGTGCGTTTGGGGAGTCCCTGTTACTGAGTAGTTTTTCGAAGCGCATGACAATCAATTTGATATTCATTAACTTCTCTGAATTTTCGAGGGTCAAACAGTTGAAATTTTTGGGACCTTCTAGATGTATTGAATTTTTTAAGCTAGAGATGTTTTAGATAATTTATGTTTTATTCAAAAGTAGACTTTTAAATGGTGTTATACTCAAAATATGAGTAGATTTCATGTAATACGAATTGTGACAAATTTCATATCATACGTACGTACAAGATTTTCTGAAAATCTGCCCCAAATTTCTTCTTTAAATCTCTGGCTCTTACAGAACGAAGTGCGCTGACATAAAATTATGATCATTCAAACGTCTGAAATTTAGAAAATTATAAAGGTTCACTTTTTTCGAACCCATGGTACACCTTCAATATTGAAGCTAGATATTTCTTTCTTAACGTAATGTATTTCTCTTTATTAGTAATTTAAACGATTTCATGCATAGTTTACTCAACATAGTAATTTTCACGTCATTTTTAATGAATTCGTGACAATTTTCCAAACATCCATAAACAAGATTATTTGAATTAAACTCCACTCTGAATTAAACTTTGAATTAAAAAAAAATTATTTATAGGAATTGTTTAAAATCTCTCACGTTAATATTTACCATACGAGTGCATTTTACAATTTAATGCATCTACGACACCAAATAATATATTCATCAATGAATTCTGAAATTTCAAAAATGAATGTTTTGTATCTCCCGAGCTTGTTTTACGAATTTTGCAATCAATATTTTCTTGCAGTGCTCAAGTATTGCGTTATAAAGGTATAAGCAATTGCATACAGGTCGATGTGAGTCCAGGGGGAGATGAAGTAGGTTTCCACCTATTCTTCACCGTCAGCACGAGAAAGGGAGTTGTGTGGTGATCACAACGGACCAGCCAGCCGGCCTTATCCCTTGGAACGATCCTGGTTCTCGCATCACCACGCATCACCACGTAAAAATCCAAATCTGTGTCGAGATTCGAACCTAGGCACTTTAAATTAACAAGCCAGCACCCTACCACTGAGTCACCGTGACTCAACATCCCGTAATACACATTACACATACGAGAAAGTATGTGCTGATATAACAAATAGTTTCATAAAGTTACTATCATCTCACGCGACACTAGACGCAAGCTTACCAAAACCATTTAAAAGAAACAAGTACACAAAGTTTTCTGAAGGAAGTCTCTACTGACAAAACTAAATTGATCTTGCACGCATTAGTGAAACAAAACCTCTTGTCTATAAATCAAGGAGGTATAATAAATACAAACTTCCAAGAAGTCTTACCCTTTCTCAGTCCCATTAGGCGGCCCGAGTCAGGTCTGGACACTCTGAAGACCGTTGATATACCAAAACAACATACGCAGTCAAAACTAATGAATGGTTGTGAAAACGAAGTTGCAAAGTGAGCAACATCTACGTTAACTGCACGACTGAAACTACGGCTGGCACAAGCGCAAAAAGCATAAAGGCATTGCAGATGATCAGATAGTAGCTAGTAGAACAGATCGTTTGATATTTTCTTCATTATAATGTATTTTAACGATCAACTAAGCTGCATATTTGACCAACTAACACAGCAACGCAAAATACAACTATCAACATATTAATTAATTATGCTAAAATAATTCATAATTCCATGAAGATGTGAACATGATTCCATCTATTATCTGTGAAAGCCTCCTGGATTTCACTACGTTTCCATAACCTGCTTTCATTCAGTGTCTTAGAAAGTTAATAGAGAATTTAATGGCGCCAAGGGAACTTTAAAACCAATCGGCCTATTATCTCAATGCAGAAACCTTTCAAGCAGGACCTGTTGATCTTTTGGAACATCAGCGTCTAATGTGGTCATGTCGATATTAGAGACGCAATGACGGCATTCTTTTCAATGTATTCGAAAAGATGCGTCGACAATTTATCATTTTACGCTGTTCACAAAATTTCAGAACTCAAAGAAAAAATATAGTATTTTTTGAGTCCATTATAATAGATCCACCAATATTTGAAGTTTCCAAATTTAATCATGGAACCTGTCACAACTACGAATTAGTAAATTGTTCATTTGTTTCACTTAATTACATATTGATTTTATATTTTTATGAGCGGAAAGACAATCACAATGAAGGTGGAAAACCCTGTGGTGACAATTTTCGTTAGCAATACGTGTATTGTATTTTCATCCTTTACTTAAAAAAGGAAAATAAACACGTTCGAAAACATGACGGGTCACTTCTAATATTTTAGGAGGGAAATACTGACATAATTATTGGATATTTCAGTTATCAAAGAATTGATGTCCCGATAACGAAAATATATATATATATATATATATATATCAGGGAAGAAATTGAAACATTCATAAGTATAAATCCACTCTATGCAGAAGATAAACACATCATTAAACACATGTGAAAGAGATGGGATGAAAAAATATGTATAATTTGACACTTAAACTTATAATAATCTTACATTTTTTCCGGCTGTATCGCCGGATGGGTTTGGAGCACTTTCCTCCCATTGCTACCAGTTGCGTACGGTAATACAAAACATCTTCATATGCACAGCACCATGATGAGGTGTGACAGCCGTTCTTCACATTCTCACGATAATATCACTGAAGATAGCGTGACAACACAAACACATGACACCTTGGATCCGAACGATTCACGGGACAGACACTATGACGCAAACATTTCCCACGATAAACACCGAAACGATTTCCAGCTGTCTCGAAGACGAAGGTAATGACGTAAAAGCCGAAAAGAGCCTCTTACCAGTCGCGCTTACCCTGGGCTCACATGGGGACGCTCTGACTTTCGGGACTTGCAGAACTTGGACGAATGCTTTCTGAATACTTAGTCTTGATAAGAGGGAACGGTGGGGGAGCTCCTACCGATAACATGCATAATCATTCTACGCACACTTCTAACGGGTATGCAAACTTCGTTCGGGGCCAGCTTTTGTGTGCTGCTTGCCCAGCCGGGAACCCTAGTGGAGTAAACACCCGGCAAGTGGCGCTTTCCAGAATCACAGTGTCAACGACTCCCAAGTGCTGCGATGAAATCGGCGCGTGTCTTCTGGCATCGAACAAGATAAGCTCTATCGACGCCGCGGATTCATCGGAGCTGTCGGCATTGTCTCGGCACACTCACTCACTAGCACGGTGCACCAGCACGGTGTTGTGACTACGAAGCCCCAAGTCAGTGGTCTTTCGCGGCGGCGGCGGCTACGCTTCGGCCGGCGGTCTTCGCGCGCGCGAACGTTGTGGGGGCAGCAACGTCCTCCCTCCGGCGCGGCGGCGGCGGAGGCGGCGCCGGTGGCGGCGGCGGAGGCCCCAAGCGTGGCGAGCGGCCGCTGCTTCGCGCCGAGCCGGGCCGCGCCGGGCCGCGCCGCGCCGGCAGGAGACGTGTCTCCGGCACCCGGTTCCGTACCACTGCGCAGCGCAGTGCAGCGCAGCAGCACGCCGGCGGCGGCGCGGTGGCGGCGGCGCACGTTGGCCGCACCACTCATCCTCGCGGACAAATCTTTAATGAGCTTACACGCAGGTACAACAAGTCATCGACCGTTTTTGTATTTTTCTAGAGTATTTTGAAAAACGCTGAAATGTAATGGGGATGTATTTCTACCAGGGATACATTTTCCGGAAGTCAAAGAACAGCCCTAATTTAGAGAATGAATAATTACAGTTTCATCGTTTCGGTACGAAAAGTAATCAATCAGAACGAAATTCACTGCAAAAAGACATGAGGATAAAACCAAATCCGCGAAATGTTCCAAAGAAATGCAACCTAAAAATGTTTATTTTAGTATTTTGACATATTTTGCAAAATTATTAAAATCGGCATTTGTCGCTTGAAATAACTTCCTTGCCGAATAGAAAGAGAGAAAAGTTTCGCCTTCACGCTACCCAACAGGTAAAACGACCCATTATTTTCTTCCAGATTTGAAAAATCGCACATATACTATTTTTATAACCGCACTTAGCTCTTTATACGAGATAAACATTAATGGGAAAAAATTGGAACGGTTTTTAATTTTTAAAATTGCCTTTATTTAGAGCAAAAAGTACACGAAAACTACTTACATTTTTTGAAAATTTGTACACAATCATATTTAAAGATCTAATTTTTTACAGCAGATTTCATGAAGAAAAATCTATATCATCGACATTGTACCTTTTAAAATGTTAATTTTGTTTGCAATTTTCGTAGGAAAAAAGAAAAGATTACTCTATAAATGGGACCTGCACCATTTCAATGCGCACATTGTGTTCTATTCGAGAAAAAATAAAGAAACAAATTGGAGTCGTTTTTGAGGAAATAATTATTTAAAAAATGCCTATAGATCATGCAAAATTACACGAAAACTACTATTTTTTACAGAAATGGTATTTGACATTTTAAAGAGAAACACATATTTTCAAAAAAATCATTAATGAATAAATCTCTATCTTCAATAGCTTGTGGCAAGACGCCAAAAAAGTCAACTATTGAAATATTCATAATTAAGAGAGTAATGAAAATAGGATCTGCATCATTTTTAGTCTTTTTTGCTCTAACCAAGGAAAAATATCATCCAAAAAATTGAAGCTATTTTTTAAAAATTTCTGAAAATGTTGCAAAGTACTCCCCCAAATCAATTATAGAGTTTATGCGACATTATTTTTAAGATCTATAATTCAAATATTTTCATCTCTTGTTAATGATTGCACATTTTGGGAAAATGTAAGAAGGGTTACTTATTGTAGAGTTTCAAAAACATATTAAGGCAAACAATCATTAAAGACGCTAAATTCAAATCATGGGTGAGGAGATTCAATTCTGACAAATAATCTGTTTGAATTGGTTAACACGACAATCAAGTTTCAAAACCTGTGTCCATTTTCTCATCTCTCTACAGCGCCACATAAAAGGATTGAGATGTAGTTGATTGATCGATTGATTAGTGACTGAGCGCGCCAACTGGCAAGACCATTAGTCCCGTCAGCATGTTTTTTATCGCGGGAAGAGGCGGAGATCCGACGTCGACGTACCCGTCGGCTTGGTATTCGCCACCGACGAGGCACCGCCCCACACGGGACTAGCTTTAAGCACCCGACTAGACCAGTGTGTGTGCATGCAAGTGTGCCTGTGTAGAGTAGAGTAGAGCATGCAAGTGTGAGTGTGTGTGTGTGTAAAGTAAGGAGGTGAAAATAAGACCAAAAAAGAAGACAGCGTGTGGTGCGTGGCCCATTTGTTAGGGTACTGGCCCGGCATTCTCCTGACGTTAATCGGAGGATGTTTACTACTAAAACTCCCAATCAAAGAAGCCGGCTGCTAGAATCCTTTTCCAGACAGTGGCTGAATCGATCTGGCTTTGTCTCCGTGTCGACGGCATCGAGCCTAAAGCCTCCCGGGCAGACTATAGTACTTATACGTTTTTTAATGTATATATATATATATTATTATATATATATATATATATATATATATATATATATAGACTATTGACTATAAGGTCACTAGTGACCTCTATTGATCATCTGAGCTACCTAAGCCGGTGATTGAGATTAAGTATATCGACACAGGGAGGCCTGTCAATCACACGGTCGCTATTTCTCTCACCTAGATTATATTCAATACAATATCCTAACATTAAAATGAACTGAGTCACATGTGTCCAAATGACACCAATGGTCAGAGTCTGGCATGACACCAATGGACAGAACATGATTAGTGAAGTAGGATGACATGAGTATGGTAATGACGCAGACCATATACGACGCCGAGAAAACGAGATCATCCCTCTACATCCACAAAAAACGCTAGTCACAGGTCACTTCAAGGTTGAGTCGTCTTTCTCTCTTCAGATATCTTGGTCGGCGGGGCACCGCCCCATCCGGAACAACTTCTAGGCTCCCAACTGGTCACCCGACATGAGTTGTAGTGTGGTGCATGTAAATGTAATGAGTGGTGTCTGTAAGGGGAGGTCAAAAAAACAACGAGAAAGGAAAAATTGCGCGCGATCCGTATCCCTGTCTTTTAAGGTACTGGGCAGGTATTCGCCCAGTATTGGTCGGAGAAACCACGGAAAACTACTGCTCGGACCAGCAAGCCGTTTGAATTTTCTTATAGACAGCGATTCGACCTAGCTATCTAGCTAGTGTCAAAAATCTGTTACTGTCGGGACTCGAACCTAAGAACCCACCTGGGACATCTCTGCCGGTCCGTATGGCTTTTTCTAAGACGCGAACAACACTAATATATTTTAGGTAGTTCCTGTCTTACTCATATTAGCGTCTGAACTATTTAGATTTATTTACATATAGATTTATTTAGTCAGAAAACAGTAAAAACTCTATGTGACGTATGGGGGAGAAGATAATATGTGCACGTTTTCTTGAGTTTCAGAATCCCTTCCCATCATTTTCATTTCATTAGTTGAAAGAGGAGTAAAAGTTAGAGATATAAATAAATAAATAAATAAATAAATAAATAAATAAATAAATAAATAAATAAATAAATAAATAAAATTAAAAAAGCGCGAGTTTAGCGATATTTGAAAAACTACACATTTTCGTTCCCGAGTTACAGAAAACTTATTTGCAACAGTAAACGAACTTCAGATTTTATTTTCTGCATTGCTAACAAATAGTAACTCGCCCTTACCTCTACTCTTACCACTACAAGCAAAAGTAGAGTTCAACAATACATGCGCATAGTGAAGCTACATTTACGTCCAGAAGCAAACCAAGGGGTCATATTAGCATTTTCTCAATGGATTAGGGAAACTGGACGAAAACCTGATCGAGATGGGGGCACAATTATCGCATATAATTGTGGCACACAATTTTCACAAAACAGCTGGCAAGAAGTGAACGGAATTTCATTCAATGAATTCAAACGCTGATCCTTTAGAAGATCATGGACCCTCTTCTCGGAGTGTTTTGTTTAATATTATTCTGCTGTAAAATAATATCAACACTGCAATGAGGACATTAAAATTATTCTAAGTTGTATGTCAAATAGGATGTTCACTAGAGATACAATGTACTCGTATCTTAGCTTTGATGATCAAAATATGGTAACAACATAACATTTCCCCTGCAGCGTTTGCTGGTCTTAGATGGCTTCAACTGCCCCCTTGAAGGGTGACAATACTGATGGTCAAATGTTCTTTGTCGAAAATGACTCTTCTCTACGTCCGCTATTGAAAATCTGCTCTGGAATTTCAAATCAAGTGGTAATGGACAAATTGTCTCATTATTTACAGTGAAGACAATCTGCAAATGCCTGCTACAAATATTCGGTTATTCGTGTCCCGTAATGCGAACCAAGCAAGCACGGGTACGAAAACTTAATAGGGAAATATTAGTTTATTTATCAAGACAGTGAAGAGGTAGTTTTCGAGTGATGTGGTGTTGCAACCTAGGCGGAGCAAAGCTGATTTCAATAGTATTCCGAGTTGGAAAAAGCCATTTTGCGGCAGAATTGCATACAATTTTTTATTTTATTTTCATTCACCTCTAACTTATATTTAGTTAGTTTGAAATTTACAACATAATAAAGCAACTCTGGTATCGTCGTCAGAAATATTCAACTGAAACGGAAGGTGAGGTTGCCCCTATAGCCAGTGGAGTAGCAGTCGCAGTAGGTGTAACAGGTGTTTCAGTTTCACGCGTTACTAATACTTTTTTCCATTAAGTATATGGTTATTATGTTGATATTACATGCTTCCTTTTACAGCCTAGGCCGAGATATTCCTCGTCCTAGACCGTAAATGTGAAGCTTTTAATACTATGGATGATCCGCGATAGGAAGGTAGTGTGAACAACAAATGTTTTTCTCTTTTGAATATGTTTAATTAAGAAAATGCACGAGTAAGTAGAAAAACGCAAAAATATATAAGGTGCCATACGTTACACAAAATAATCTACTGAATAAACTGCGAGTGTATGAAATTTAGGATGCGGGTGATTCACCAGCACAGTAAGCATCGGAGTGTCATCAGCAAATAGTAGATGTACAGAGCATTAGTTTGTGGAACCGCCTTTCAAATTTCTGTTTCAATAAATTCTATTGCCACGAAGAAAAGTATGTCAGAGGAGGTTTAAACAATACGGAACCACGGTTAATCGAGTATTTCAATTAAAAGAGTTATGGTCACTAATATTTTTATGGAATAAAAAAATTGTATAGTAGTAACGATAAGTCAATACCGAGCAAAAAGCGAAAGGAACACGAGCTATTAGAGGATGTTGATGAAATTCAACTAAACTAGGTTTCTCCAAAGATCCACCTGGAGAGGACGTGACGTACTTATTAGGAGCGTAGTCAATATTTGTAAAGATCTTGGTACCGCACCATTGGCACGTTGTCTCATGTTTCGTCCATTTAACTGTGACCTTCTTCAAACTACATTTACAACCTGCCTCATTATATTCATATAAGCATCTTATTTCCAAACCCATCACCACTGGAACTCCATATTGCATAAATATTTGAATTTTGTTGCCTAGGTACTCATATTTGTCCATTAATGCGCTCTTTAATATTTCCTGGCCTAC